TGATGCCAGGGTTCTGAATTCTCTAAGGCCTCTCTTTTCATGAGCTTTGATTGCTTTTTAGATGCTCAGCTTCAATCTCCCCTTTCTACAGCACCTTGATTTCATCTTGATGAGTTAACTGACATTAGAATCAAAGGACCTGCTTTTGCAATTCCATAGGTAGTTATTAACATCGAAGGCTTCGCAGCATTCCTAAAAAGTTATCTGTGTTGTTACAGACTGTAGCTCCTAAAGATGCAGGTTTGATCTCCAAAGGAAGGATCTCACCTCTTACAGGGTTCTGGTATTAAGGAAAGTCTTAGAGGATCAAATAGAAAATGTATGTTATATCCAAAACATTTACTTAGTGCTAATCCAGACTTGTACATAGGTATATGATAAACATACCAACGCTGACTTGCAAATTACAGATGGAAGCAACTCATGATTATTGAAGGATTTGGTACCAAAAAAGGAAACAAAGCAGAAAAGTAGCTCAATCATCAGAATCTGTTAAATAAAATGCATACATTTTAACTGAGTAAATCATTTAAATAAGCAAAAATAAATTGTACTAATTAATGCAAGATGAAAGCTTTGTTTAAATAAGTAAAATAGATGATATTAATTAATGCAAGGCAAAGGGTTTGTTGAAATGTGACAAATATTTCTGAGTATCACATATATGCCAGGAACAATTTTAGGAGTTTGTGTCACATCAGCCACTGCTCTTGTGGAGTTTAAGAACCAGATAACTATTTTCAAGATTTAAAAGATAAATTTGGGAGGGGGGAGGGTATAGCTCAGTGGTAGAGCACATGCTTAGCATGCATGAGGTCCTGGGTTCAATGCCCAGTACCTCCATTTAAAAAGAAATTAAAAATAAATAGTTTAAAAATAAAAGATAAATAATATGCAGGAGTCTTTGAGGAAGAATTGGAAATGGGAGACCAGATGGGACAATAGTGAGGATACATCAGGCAACACTGTGATCAAACAGAAGGTGTCATTTCTAAGAGAAATCTATTACTGACAGAGACCACGGCTCTACAGACAATGGCAAGTTATTCCTTGAAACAAAGAGTGAGATGAATGAAGTCGGGGGCGAGGGTGAAGAAAGAGAGGATGTTTTGATTGCTTCTTGACTGTGTTGATGACCCACTATTTCATATTGAAAAAAAAGTATTTTTAATGTAACAAGAAAAACTTACATGTGTTACTGAGTCCAAACTCGTTCTGCTCACCCGCATGACAGGTCAATAGATCAGGAGACGAGGTGTTGGGGCAAGGAATAGCGACTTTATTCAGAAAGCCGGCAGACCAATGTCTTGGAGAACCATCCTTCTCTAGTCAGAATACAGGCTCCTTTTAGACAAAAAAATAGGGGAGGGGGTGTGGTTCATTGTCACAAACTCCTTGCTGCAGGTATTCTCTGTTCTTGCAGCCATCCATGTGGGCCAGGTCATAGTGTCCCTGTAAACCTCCAACAAAACAAAGGTTATTCTCTGTTTTGCAACTTGCCATCTGGACCTAAGTGCAGAAGTGCTGACATCCTTAAAGGTCAGAGCCCCAAGAACAGGCTCTCTTGTCTATTTCAGGCTTAAGGCAACATTGTTTCCCAAAAGGTGCAGAGCTGGCAAGACTGAGGCTAGAAAAAGGGCACAGTGGTCTGATACGGGGTCAGATCTGTTCTCTATTACATAGGGAAAAGCATATTTTAAAATGGATTATTTTTTGCAAAATTATGAATTCCTGAAATGTGTCTTCAACTTCTATTCTTGCCATTAGTTCTTACTTTTAAAACAACAAATTTTGCAGCTACGTAAGATACAA